TCAGTGCCAAGTCCAGCTCTTCTGGGCACAGCAGGCAGAAGACAGTATTAGGGACCCAGCACCCCAACCCCAGGACAGAAAAGCCTGAGAATTATTCCAGAAGGTACTATTTGGGCATGTTTCTCTAGGTACCATAATCCAGAGAGCCCTGTGCACCAACCACCAGTGCTGCCCTTCAGCAACCCTCTCTGTCCAGTCCCTGAGCTGCAGGGCAACAGAGGAGCCAGCAACAGCCTCATTACTGCCAGAGGTTCCCAAATGTATGGCACGGTCCCTCCACTGGATACTCAGGCAAGGCTTCCTGAGCACAAAGGGACAGAGCACGGCTCAGTGCCTAGCACAGATTAACTCAGCTCCCCGCACCTCAGCAAAGTCCAGGTCACCCAGGACATGAGCGACCAAGCCAGAAATGCTCCCCTATGTTTCGTTCACAAAACACCTTCCCTCCCTTATCAGGAACCTCTGGTATTTTTCAAATGCTCTCACACTCACCCTACCTCCTGCTGCGTGCAAACTCCACGGCACTGGCCCCACGGTCAATAAAAATGGTAAAAACCTTCTTCAGACTTGCATGGCTGAAACGGATGCGGATCCCTGGGCCTCCTCTCCTCCAGGCTCAGCTTAATTAGGGAGCAGTCAGCAAACCACAAGTGTGCTCACAAAAGAAGCCTGCGTCTGAAGGGCTTTGACTGCAGCTCTTTGTAACTAGTCACAAACATCTGGTGCCTGGCAAGCTTGCCTGCTTCTTGGAAGGGGTTTCCAATGAGAAAATTCCTGTAGCTCGCACCTGAATTCTCCGCAGCGCTCTGTGCAGCACTCGGATCTCTCCCCTGGCTCCTCTTCTAAGCTGCCAGCTTTGCAGAAAAGCCATTTCTGGCACTGGCTTCCCCACCATACCCTCCCCACCCACCCCAACGCATCTGAAGCAGTACACATGGTCCAACAGGGAACAATTATTCCCTTGAATGTTTACGGGTTGATAAGCAGTTTTGCAAATTCAAGTGATAGTATCGGTTCCAGTTTTATCGGCACGATGAAACAGAGCCCACGGTGGGGATGGTCCCCCCAGAGGAGAAGGGAATAAGGGTAATTCTTTTCTCCTCTTTTAGTAGCCCCTTTCCCTTTCACGCGCACGTGTGAGTGTGCAGCTGTGCTCAAAATCCAATCTCAGGGAGACTTCCTTCAGTATCTATTGAAGATTAAATGATCTCATGTGCAGCCTGTAATGATGGCCACTACCAAAAATTGTTCCCATCTGAAAGCTGCCCAGTGCTGCATGATCCAAAATGGGCTGCTGACCTCAGAAGAGATCCCAGCGGGCAAACCACCACATCACAGAAACTCAGCCCAGCGCAAGCACCACTAATTGTCCCCTTGTCTGCGGGCTCCGAGTGAAGGCAGCTACTAAAGGGCAGGGGAGCTGTGCTCTCAGCTTGTGTTACCAAGTGACTTTCTCCTAAGCCTGATTTCCAGCGTGTTTGGGGAGATGCTGTCCCAGTCCTGCTGTGAGGCACCTTTTGCCTGGCAAAAGTCACTACGCCCCTAATACAACTCCAGTAAAGCCAATCCGAATTGTCCCACCCACAAGGGCAGGCGTTGGATTCGGCCCTGCAAATCAACCAAAGACAAATAACCCAACCAAATAAGCCAAATAACCCAAAATCAGACCCGGACTTGGTGTAGGAAGAGGCAAACCTGCCATGAACATGGATGCTTTGACTCAAGCTAGCCCCCGAACCAGCACGCATCTGTTGCCGCTGCATTTCCGCAAGACTCCGTTGAAATTACAACCAGCTCCCTGCTGTGGCTCGTATTCCCCAGCGCAGGTTGCAAGCACCAGCGTGGTAAAAGGATCTTGATGGGTAAAAATTATGCTTCCATTTAAGAAGACCCACTAATGGCACCTTGTGCATCTGTCACTGAATTAACAACATCAATCTGAAACCGTACGTAAGCTGGACAACTGGTGAAGGGAACAGCTTGCTTGCATTAGGAGGTCTGGCTGAAGGGAGACCTTAGGCTTTGTTTCTCCTGAGGGGTTGTGATCTGCTAACGCGAAAGCAGATACTTTCTTGTGGGTATTCACATTTTTGCAGATGGGATTCCTTATGTATAGGAAGGGCGAGACCTCTCAGATCAATGTGGGCGAAAGGAGCGGGAGGCTGCAGAGGAATATTTGGGGAGCAAAGGGAGTGCAATTACAGCAGCGGTAAAATGCACGTGCACGTTCTGGAGAGCAGGGCTATGGAAAAAAGACACAAACTGAGGTTGTGGGGTCACTTTCACCCCCTCCCTCCCAAAAGTCTGGATTTGCCTCCTTCCACACCCTGCCAAGAAAAACAAAGAAACTAAATATAAAAATGCAGCAATCTGGAGAGCCGCTCCGGTGCCCAAAGCGTAGGTGTCTAACGCCACTGTAGGCACTGCTGGGGATCCAAGCCATCTGCGTGGCGCTGGCAGGCAGAGCACCTGCCCTAGGGCAGGCTCCCTCCCTCCGGGGGCCGGGCAGGGTACCCTGGGGCATGGAAAATGGCACTCGACGCCTACCTTCAGGCGTCTGAACAGCTCCCCCAGAGCCCTGTGTGTTTGGACAGTTGGAGTTAATCATCGAAGGGAAACGGAGCTGCAGTTAACGCACTGAGCACTGTAAGGTTTGGTAGCGGAGAGGATAAAATAGGAAAGGGTTGGAGCACAGGGGACGGTCCGGCAGAGTCCGAGGGAGGAGGATGGGGAGGAGAGCGGCTGCCAACAGCTCGGAAAAGGGTTTCAAAATCCTTCTGCGCCACGCCAAAGCTTAGTCATAAATGACAACAGGTGACCTGGGGACACAGGGATGTTTTCTGAAGGGTGTGATCTGCCGGTTTTTTAGACTCTTATGTGTTCCGCCTGTCTGAGCGCCTCCCAAACACATCCCCTGCACGGCCGCGTTATCCTCCCTGCCTTGCGGACGGGCAGCTGGAAGCACGGAGGGACGTTTTCGGCAGCCCACACAGCAGTCTCAGGCTTGACCCCGGTTGTTGTCAGTGGGAGTTTAGGCCCCAGACTTCCTTTTCGTGCCTTTGAAGCTCGGCTAGAGCTCGCTGGGGGCTTGCAGGGGAGGCAGACTTCACGTTCAGACCTCGGCTCCGGGTTTAACCCTTTCACCCCACGTCTGTCCTCCCTCGGTGGGTAAAAGAGAGGGTATTTCTGCGCTCTGTTTGGTGACTACAACTTTCATGCACCAGTTAATTTTTCCAATGGAGGAATTAAATAATCCTCTAAGGGCAGTGTAACCCAGCCCTTCAAGCTTCCCATCCCTCCTGGCCCCCTTCCTCCCCTACTCTCCTGCGAAGCGGACGGCCCCAGAGTACGGGGCAGCTCAGTGCCCTCCTTACCCCACTCTGCCTTCCAAACACCCCCTTACAGAAAGATAAAAAGAAAAGAAAAAAAAAATCCACAAGTCCCAGTTGGAAACTTTTACAAACACAAATGTTTTCAGTTTTGCTGTCCCTGAAGTGAGGAGCAAATGTTTGGGTCCTCACTGTGGCTTGTTTTATTTGCTAGATTTCACCTCCACCAGCAGCTTAATCAGTGCAAATCAAATTACGCCTCCTGTTTCCTTATCTCCAGAGCGCTGACACGGGCAAGCGGCTTATCTCGGTGTGGCAGGAGCCAGCGCCTTCCTTGGGGGTAGGACAGGAACTCCACCGAAGCTGCTTGTAGTGGGAGAGGGAGCATAAATCAGGGAAAGCTCTGCTCCCCAGCAGCGAGGTTACTTGCTAGGGGCAGCGTGGGGAAGCCGAAGTGCGAGATGCCCAGGGGGTGGATTAGCAGCCTGGAAGCCAGGGTTTGGATTTTGGCTTACTCATCTGTAAAGAGGAGGCGGTGGCGGACCCGGCGGTGGCGGTGACGATGCGGTGGTTTGCAGAGCTGACACGGTGTGTTGCAGTCACCGCGTCCTTCGTGCTGCTTCTGCGGTCAGTCCTCCCTCCTGCCTGGGAGACACGGCTTGCTTCCAGCAGAGGTGTGGGTACAGGGACGGCGTGAGCACGTCCCGCTGCCCAGGAGCATGGGCTCAGGGGCGAGGGCACGCGGCCAGCACCCGGGAGACCTGCATTTTACTCCTGTGACTGCTTCATGCCTCAGTTTCCCCCCTCGGTGACACTGCTGGCTTTCTTTGCGTGCTGCTTTGAGATGCCCCAGCGGGGCAGCCTGTAAAATGGAGGCAGCAATAAGACTTGCTTATTGCTGCGTTTCGCACCGCCGGCAGCACGCTGGAGCCCTGGGCATCACCAACACCTGGGACAGATAAACTGACTCCGCTCGCCTGATGCTGATGCGAGTTTTGCACTGATTGCGGGGGTAAAAGCAGCGCTGGGTACCGCAGCTCAGCGGAGCGGTGCCAGTCGCCTCCGCGGGGGTCTCACCGACCCAGCCAGGCCACTTGGCCACTTGGCCCCGCCGAGGTCCGCGCCGCACGCCTTGCCCGAGGGCCAGGCTGCTGTGCCCGGGGCCAGCCCTCGAAGGACAAAGTAGCCCAGTCCCGGTTTTTAAACCGTATTTCGCCCTGCAAAGTGAAACCGGCCGCCTTCCCCGCCTCCCCCGGCACCCAGCCCGC